CTTATTGGATGACAATATGGATCTTTTAATAATGAAAACCAAATTCGACATTGATCACGTGTTGAAAGACTGTTATTTTATTTAAAAAATAAAGAAAATAAATGTGAATTGATAGGATCATCTCTTTATGCATTGTTATTGAAAGGATCATCTCGGTTATGCATTGTTTATTTTCAGATAAATGTCATGAATTGAAAAAGGGCCTATGCGGGTGCCGTCACCATACCCCACAAGCTCGCCAGCACCATCACCATCGAAATCCATCATAGTAATGTCGGCTGGAGAAAATACACCAATCAAACCAAGACGAAAACGACGTTCGAATAGATGGTCGCGAAGACCATCGCCCAGATCTCCATTGAAAGTGCAAAAATTTAACCTTTCCTATTCAGCTGATGATGTGCAACATTTTCTACGGCATAGACCGACTGATATTATTGATCCGATTTCATCACCATTAATCAGTTATTCATTTCTTAATTATGTGATCCGTCTTCAACTGTAGCGTTTGAATTGGCTAATAGACTCGTTCATTAAATACTAACGAATGAACAATTGAAAATAAATTATTATTTTCATATGTTTCCGTCGAATGAAAATTATATACCGCTTAATCCTTCGTAGCTATCGTGGGGTCTACGTGGACCCACTTTGCAATGTTTTATTTCTCGCTACGTTACTATTAAATCTTTCAAGCCACTTTCTTCTGTAATCATTGGTATATTATTCATGCACAAGAACCTTTCTAAATTTTATCAATATGTCTTAAGGGAAAGAAGGACCACAACGTTAATACGAATATGAATCGAGCGAAGAAACGATGCTATCTTTGCCCAGCACAACTTGGACGTAAGGTTTCTACAAATATGTGATGGTTATGAGCAGAACGTGTGTTTCTGTCATGTCAACAGCATCACAACGATGACCTGTCACAAGTGATCAGATGAGACAGCGTATAGTGAACAAGCAAAAAGATATATACTAGAACAATAGCAACAGTAGACAGTAGAAAAGACAGTTTTATGATTTTAAGACAGGAAAAGACAAGTTTTTATCCATACCAAAATAAAAAACGAAGTAAGAACATGATCTTTTGTATTATCTATCTAAGGGCCACTAAGTTTCGATATATCATTACATGTTCACAACATGCATTTAAGTGGTTGAGCCCCGGAATAGCTATATATCATGAGGTGTAAAAATTCTTTAAAAAATGTTCTCTGAACTCCGAGCTAATGTATTATTGGCATATTTGTTGATATATCCACGTGCAGTCCGAGGGTAATTAATGTCTTCGATCCATGCATCAAATGCTTAAACGAAAAAAAGAACCGCTAGTTTTAAAATATTTTCTCAAGGTGGATCTAACTGGACCTAAGGACAGCTATGGTGTTACAAAGTGAGGACAGCTACGAAGGGTTAATGCAGTAAGTTATACGTCTCAACTATTTTATATTTTTGCGTGAGTTTTTTGCATACAGATAGCAAACCCAACACGTAAACAATCGTTAATGTTAGAAAATTTATTTGTACCAGAAGAGCAACACCTACGTGTGAATTTACAAAGCACTGCTAAAATTTATGATCGTGTGAAACATCCAACGAATCTGTATGGCTTCTACGAAAACGGATTTGTTTTGAATTTAAATTCCTGCGTAAGTAAATTAGCTGTCAGTTTATTCAGGACTAACTGGTGTTCATCTTATTCAATAGCTTTTGTTCATGGTCGAGTACCAATTGTCGTTGAACGAACAAGTGTTACAACCACCACCTGAACGTTTGAATTCTTCATTCGAATTAGCGTTAAAATACGCCTTTCTAATTGCTGTGAAAATACCGCATGAAACTGGACTTGTGTGTTTAATATGTTTGGTAAAAAACATTTGGGGATAGACGCAAAGGCACATACACCCACAGGTATGTACATGTGTACATGTTTTTTATTACTGCCTTGATATTGTTATTTTTGTTTTTCTTGGTTTGATTGGTGTATTTTCTCCAGCCGACATTACTATGATGGATTTCGATGGCGATGGTGCTGCCGAGCTTGTGGGGTATGGTGACGGCACCCGCATAGGCTCTTTTTCAATTGATGACATTTATCTGAAAATAAAAAATGCATAACCGTCTAGCACAGTCCAAATCAATTTTAAGTCTGATTAATAATATATTCTATATATATACTAATATATTAATTATATATATATTAATTTTGATAGTGTAAGTTTCAGAATGATATAATCGGAATTTATATTCTCGATTTCGTTCTGGTTCAAGATTAAAGCTTAAACCAATAATATATTCCCTTGACCAAAAGTCTAGCATTCAGCGATGTAGCCAGGATTTCAGTAAGTTTCTTTCTTTCTCTCTTCTTTCATATCTTCAATGAATCGTCATTTCAGGTAGGAGTGAAAGTAAAACTTCTTTCGATACAGTGATTGTTTTTAATAATAACAGAAACATTCAACAAGCGGTGTAGTTTCATTACTCACATCCTATTTTTGAACTTTTTCCAAAAATTCTCATATTATTGTGTAGTTGCGGGTAATGTACGAATACTTAATTTTCCTACTGTAAAGTTTGAATGAAGCGTTATAAAAAATTAAAAATATTTATTCAACGATATTTAATACATTTACACAATGTGAGACATACTACTGATTGTATATGAAGCGTATAAAAGTAAATAGGTATTTCTTTAGGAGGTGCTCCCCGTATGTGTTTAGTGTTCCCCTGTTATGAGAAAATTGAACAATATTGTGGTTTAAGTCTTTTACTGTAAAAATGAAAAAATAAACAAGAACATTAAAAGTGATTAATTTTATTCTTTCTGTACTTCTTTTTGCTATTTTCCTTCAAAGTAAGACAAATCCAGTCTTAAAATGTTTTATCAATAAATAATTTGGTAACGAAAAATTCTACAACGGAGGGGGGGGATCAACTTGCTCAGAAAACGGCTCCTTCCTTTTTTTGCTCATGTTGAGTTGACTTTTGTAGAAAAGACATTTGTACACATTTTCCAACTGTTCGTATGGCAAATAAGCTCAAAATACGTTTTTAACATTCATTATTTTGAGATTCCATCAGAGCACATCGTTGTTAGAAAAAACATAAACAATAAAAAGTAACCCTAAAAAAGAAACTAAAATCCTAAAAAAACATAAATAAAAAAGATGAAAAGAATTAAACAAATATAATAATCATAAAAGTCAAAAATTAATAATTTTTGAAAAATTAAAATATAAAAACTCATAAAAAAGGTTATTTCAACAAGTAAACACTGTGACGGGATAGATTCGTGATTTAATCGGAGAAGGTAGTGCGGAAGAACAAATATAAGATCCCGGAGTTTATATATTATTTCTGACTTAATAAGAGTTTAGGGTTCTCTGAGAATTGAAAAATTTACTAAGGACTAAAGAAACTATCTCTGTCATTATCTAAAAGGATTTCAGAAGGCTCTTTTGTTGAGTTCGCTAGTCATGCATACAACATCTCATCCCTACTAGAAAAAATAACTTTGCTTTGTGGAAGTGAAACAAAAACTGGTTTTGAGGGTCTAAGTGCATATGAAGGTATACCTTCATAACGCGGAGAAACTACATACCCCATCTATTCTTATCTATAGATAAGAATAGATGGAGTATATAGTTTCTTCAGCCTGAGTAAATTTTTAAATTGTCTGCAAACGTGTTTAGGCATTCAGGAAAATGTTTATTACCCGGTAATTAAGTTACACAGAGTTGCGGGACATCTCATTTTGTAGAGAAATGTTTGTTGTATAAAACTTATTGGTCTAAACAACTTTTCAAATTAACTATGTTGAAAACACGAGTATTGAGGAACTGTTGGAGAACAATTCCACTGTTTAGACGGAGCGTACTTTTGACACAATTAATCTTACATTTTTTGGATCACTGAGATTTGTAGAGGAAACATTTCTCTACAAAATGAGATGTTCCCCAATTCTGTGCTACTCTTAATTACCGAGTAATAAACATTTTCCTCAATGTCCAAAGAACTGGTGTATACCTAATGGCTATAGCTTTTCTCAAATTCTCCATGAAATCGAAACTATCAATACTGTATGTGACTTTTAGTGATGTCCTGTACCTTTTACCAGTCTTACCACGTTATTCTCTAATACGAACTAATTCGTTTGTTTTTCCAATTTAGATCCTATGCGCTCGCCCATTGGTATGACAGAAAGCGAAAAATAGAGAATAAGTCAATATTGACTATGTTCCTTTCGTAGAAAAGTATGCGTCAGTCAGTTTATGTTGACAAAAACCAAAGGCGAAACAGCTAATATCATTGTACATACTACACGTCTACCTGCTACAGAAGCTCCTCAAAGGACTTTCTCTAAACTTAATAATTTTTCTTGGGTGAAAAATATAGCTTATTTTTATGTTTTTGCCGCAAACCGCAGCTTTCCAAGTCAATTCGTCATCATGGAGATATTCAATTTTTAAAAATTCATGGCATTTTTTTGATGATAAATTAGTATAAATTAGTGTCGATTCTATTTGCAAACCATGTTATCAATAATCAAGAAAACTTTATCACGTATACAACTGTTATCGGGCTATACCCTAATACTTTGATCATCAATTATCTCCTAGAATGTCACTTTTTTTTGACTAACCTGTTCTATAACAACTCCAAACAGAATTTTTGTTTGGAAGAATTGTTTACTGAAACAATCAAAAAAATTTCTGTTTTTATCCACTTTTTATCTGTACAATTTATGTGACATATTTTCATAATAGGTTAATAAAACCTGCATCATATAAGTAATTTTTTAAGCTGAGTTCAATGAGGATGTCGGAAAATCAATCTTTAACCAAAAAAAGAGATACAGACCTGCAGCTGGAGGTATTTGATAGAGAACAACGGATCTATAATTCTATGGAAAAATCCAGTCTCCCGACGAGGTTTTCTATGGTGTACCTTTAGAAACAAAATGTTCGAGCTTGTCGTTCCAAAATCTACATAGCAAAGTACCGCTCTAAACACATGTAAATATACAACAGGTGCCACTTTACAACCTTGCGTAAGGCTCAAGTCTCCACAGACCGTGGTTCGGGTACTACAGGCAACCCCCGAGGACCTATCTATCGACTAAATCTGAAGTCCGAAAATCTTAAAAACACACGAAACATAGGTTTTCGAACACAGGGAATATCGTGGCAATGTTTGTTTTGTTTGTCGAATTAAACAAACTTCAAAAGCTGAATTTTTTCTGAAAAATCAATTTTTCGGCTGTGGTTGTACTGGAATAAAAACCATCTAACACCTTCATTTCTCAATGAAACTGCTTAAAAGTTGAAGAGTGTGCATAAGAGAGGGCAATGGAGTCTGTCCAGTTTTTCCTGCAGTTGCGAAAAGTATACGGAAATGTCGTGGCAGTACAAATAACAGAAAAGGTGATTCGATAAGTAAAAGAACGATTTCCGTGAAAATGATCTCCCATTTTTTCAGCTCTATTCATGGGAATAAAAACGCTTCTGTAAAGTCTATCTTAGAAGGCCATGGCCTTCTAACGCAACCACGCCATATTTTGCCTAAATTTTTCTAGATTTAACTTGTAGCAAACCCTGAAACTATACGCATGTTTTTGTTTTCACGATTTTCACATTTCCCTTTGTTCAGCTAGTCGTAACTAAGGAGGGAACCTCTTAAGATGCCCCTTCCGATTCCAATGATTTATACATGGATCGATAGACTATGGTGAAGTAGTAAATACGCTAAAGGGATTTTTTTCCCACGAATCTTGAAGACCCTGTTTTCTGGAAAATCAGTTTTTCAGAAACTCTAAAAAAATAGTAAAAGCCTTTCTTAATGAGGCATGATTGTAGCCCGTAGATTTATGATTAAAATGAGACATCTCCCAGCTCTACACGACCTTTTCTTGCAAAGTTATAGAATTTACAAGAAAAGCCTTAAATGTTCATTGTCAGCTCAAAGGTACAGAAATAAGACGAAATTAATTTAGGGCTTTTCGTGTAAATTCTATAACTTTGCAAAGGAAGGTCGTGTAGAACTGGGAGATGTCTCATTTTAATCAGAAATCTACGGGCTACAATCATGCCTCATTAAGAAAGATATCTATTATTTTTTAGAGTTTCTGAAAAACTGGTTTTTCAGAAAACCGGGTCTTCAAGAGTCATAGAAAAAAGTCCCTGTAACGTATTTAGTACCTCACCATGATCTACCGATCCATGTATAAATCATTGGAATCGGAAGGGGCATCTCGAGAGATGCTCTCGTTAGTCACCAGGAATACAATGTGTTTTCGATATGCCGATGTTTTTTAGCCACATACATGAAATGTAAATGCATCGAATATTAGTAGAACAGATTTATCATGGCTATTACAAAAATAACATTTATTTTAAATAAAAGGGTTTCTGTCGAATAGAAATCGAGAAACAGGAGTCTAGGCTGAAGATCTAATCTGTCAAATGTTGGTTACAGTTATGACAATCATTTTATATTTACTTAGCTGATAAATTCAGAAAACATGTGCAGATACGTGTACATTGTTTCTGGAAATCCGCTTTTACGTCGAACTTAGCAAATTATGTTTTCTCCTGTACCAGGCGACAGTACGTTGCCAAGATCTAATTTTTTCAGTGATGATTTATTTTATATTCTTATCTATGTTTTCAAATTATTTCCTGATAGCCCAACCGTTGGGCTATCAGGAAATAATTTGAAAACATAGATAAGAATATAAAATAAATCATCACTGAAAAAATTAGATCTTGGCAACGTACTGTCGCCTGATACAAGAGAAAACATAATTTGCTAAATTCGGGGTAAAAGCGGATTTGCAGAAACGAGGTGCTAGCCTCCACAGATTTTATTCAAAAGAATAAAATCACACAAAACGTCAAAACAAAAAAACTAACTCGGTGTGTACAAATAGACACTCTATATAGATGAAGAAAGAATATTGACTCAACCAGAACTGAGTCAACATTCTTTGTGATAATGAGAAATGGAAAAGAGGAAGAGGAAGGAATGTGAGTGACGACTGACATAACACTCCCCCGTGGCTTCGAGATGAGCCTCCCGGCTCATCGGAAAAAAGGAGTGGTGACAACAAAACAGAAAACAAACAGTCAACTAAACCAAGCGTTCATAAACCGGTAATAAGTTATTGACGTGTGCCACCAATGCACCATCACCATCATCTAACATCATCTAACATGTAACTGACTGCAGTAATTTTATCAGTAATTCGATAGGGACCACGATATCGTTCATCTAACTTTGATCGGCCGATTAATATTTTGAGCCAAACGAGATCAGCAATTGTAAACAAGACTGGATCTATTTCGATCAATATTTCTATAATATCGGTGTCTTCCATTTGTTCTTTTCTAATACGATCTAGGCTGAAGTCGAACAATTGTGGAGAGGGACTTGTAGTTGTAGCTGGCGCCGATGAAAGAGATGTATGAGTTGCCGTGTAGGTTGTCAGAGGCGGAGCTGGTATTAATCGTTTAGCTTGTTGACGCGTAATGACAGCATTTAGTTGTGTGAAGAACGTAGATGGCGGACGTTGTGGTTTAATTTCCCATGTTTCAGTCCCTTGAGACCAATCGTTATCATTGATGGGGTTTTTCGATGTCGAGGAGATCGGGTGTTTCGAAAGGTAATCGGGACCGGTGTTCTTATCACGAGGCAAGTGCTTGACTTCAGTAATTTGTGGAATAATATCTTGCAATTTAAATAGCCAATGCATAATACGTTTATTATCAATTTGTTTTTTATGGAAGCTGATCAATGGTTAACTGTCCGTTTCTATCGAAAAATAAGAGTCGCCAATATATTCTCGTAGTTGCTGTATACTCCAATACATAGCTAATTCCTCCCGTCCCATTGGATCATAACGTTTTTCGGTGTCAGACAATGTACGCGATTTATAATAACATATTCGAGTATCATGTTGAGTAGTTTGACGTAATATGCCGCTGATGCCAATAATTGATGCATCTGTTGATAGGATGAAGGGTGCTGTTGGATCCGGGTATTGCAAAAATAATGGTTCCGTAGTCAATAGGTGTTTAAATCGGTCGAAAGCATCTTGTTGTTCTTTATGCCAGTAAAATTCATGTTTCGTTTTCTTCGTTTTATTGGTTACTTTATGAACAGGAGCGGCAATCTCTGCAAAATGTGGAATAAACTTGCGGTACCAATTCAGTTTTCCAATAAATTCATTAGCTTCATTTAAAGTTTTTGGTGGTTATAATTCAATAATAGCTCGAATTTTTTCTGGTGATGGTTTAATTTGATCTTTGTTAATAACATGACTTAAAAATTCAATTTCGTAATAAAAATAAAAATTTAATTGTACATTTCTCCTCCGGATTAACTTAAAAATTGGCTTGGTTTAATATGACAGAACTTCATTTAGGTGTCGTTTGTGATCCTCAAAAGTTTTGGAAAAAATCAAAATATCATCAAGATATACAGCTACATAATCCGAGCGTCCATTTTCAATTAAATTGTGCATGCTTCATTGAAACGTTGGTGGACCATTCATAACACCTTGAGGTAATACATTAAATTCCCATAGATCATCTTGAGTGATAAAAGCCGTTTTCTCCTTGTCTTGTTCATCTATCGGGATTTGAAAGTAGCCGGATTTCAAGTCCAGCTTAGTAAAATATTTATGTCCGCCTAATCGTTGTACTAATTCCTCAGTTGTTGGTTGTGGAAAGGAATCTTTCTTCGTAAGGGAATTAGGAGTGTTAATTTAGTTTTATTGTTCATTTATAATAATGGATAAAAGTAAATGAATCATTTATATTTAAAAAATAAAGATAAATTCGTCATTTATAGTTAAAAAATAAATATAAATAAATCAAAAAAAAATTTATCTTTATTTTATAAAAATAAATGATCCATTTATCTTTATTTTATAAAAGTAAATGATTTATTTATATTTATTTATTTATTTCTACCTTTACTTTTATAAAATAAAGATAAATGGATCATTTATTTTTATAAAATAAAGATAAATTTTTTTTTGATTTATTTATATTTATTTTTTAAATACATATGACGAATTTATCTTTATTTTTTAAGTATAAATGATTCATTTACATTTATTTTCCAAAGTAACACTAAATTAACGTCCCGTTTCGGAATTCAATGTTCGATAATCGACTAAGAAACGTATTCCACCATTTGGTTTCTTATACTGTATTACAGGTGATGACCAGGGAGAATTTGAAGGACGAATTTGATTATTAGTCATCATGCCTTGTATTACTTTTTGTAATTCTCGGCGTTGATCTACCGTTTTGGGATATGGACGTGAACTAATGGGTGATGTTCCCCAATTCTGTGCTACTCTTAATTACCGAGTAATAAACATTTTCCTCAATGTCCAAAGAACTGGTGTATACCTAATGGCTATAGCTTTTCTCAAATTCTCCATGAAATCGAAACTATCAATACTGTATGTGACTTTTAGTGATGTCCTGTACCTTTTACCAGTCTTACCACGTTATTGATGGTATGTTGTAGTGAAGTGTGAGCTTGGATGATTTTGGATGAGTCGAAGATTTTTGCATGTGAGGATAGTATTTTCTGTAAGTTGTTTCTTTCTAGCGAATCACAAATGTTTACAACTAGTTTTGCAGTAATGTCTGATGTTGATCTGGATGTGGTAGTAGTTCGAATAGAATTTAAAGTTGAACTATCTTGTGGTGATGACGAAATTGATGATGGTATCGAAAAACTTTCTACGTCGACATGCGTATGAGTTATTTGTCCTATTACTGCGTTTTTGTATAATGTTCGTGTTCGATCACTGTTGTTGTAAATTTTGATGAACGTAGTATAATCTGTAACTTTTACCATTGCACGAACCATTGAAACTGATTTATATTGTAGAACGTCTGTGTCTGGATGATAATATACTGAATTTGCAGAAGAAACCTGTTTTCGCCTGAATGATACTTGCTTCGCGTGGAGGAATCATAATCGAGCTAAGTAATTGTAAATCTAACGCAAGAGTATGAATGTGTTTGTCGAAAGGGATACATGGTCGACCGCTATACGATCGAATAGAAACTTGATGACGATCGTATTCAATTCTTGCGCCTGTTTCAACGAACCAGTTAGATCCAAGGATAAAATCAGAGTTTAAATGTTTGACTACTGCATTAGTCGGTTTTAAGTACACGAAGATGCAAATTAACCTCACCTATTATATGTAAAGGCGTAGAACTATCGGCTAAATGCGCGACCGTTTTTGATGGAAGTAACGGTGAATGACGAATTTTACTAAGTGCCGATTGAGTTATAAATGAGTGTATGGCACCCGAGTCGATGAGTGCACGTGTCTGTCGATTATTTACGTAAACGTTGATATTTACGAGCGACGGATTAGTTCCGCAACATTTTCGTGGTCGTTTTGGACAATGTCTGATGAAATGATCGCTATTGCCGCAATGATAACAGCGTAAGATTTTCGTAGTACGATGATTTCCTTGTTCAAAAGGAGTTGGTGATAATATGGAATTGATTCGTGTAAACGTAGGGTACTGCTGACGAGGGAACCTATGGAGATGAAGCACTCCGATTTCGTTCGTTCTTGCGTGGATCAATAGGGCATGTGGAGTGGGTAAAAAGCCTAAGAGGGTTCGGACGGAGACTTTCCCTTGGGGAGTTATGGGCATTTTACGCATTTTCTAGCGTCAGCGGAAAACAGGTAAAATTAAAAAAATCACAACTCTGTCCAGGAAAGTCGTAGAGGACTGAAAGTTTTTTTGGTGGTGAGGATAAAGGTTGTCTTCATATCCTGCAAGTTTCAGAGTTCTATCACTTTCTCTCATTCAGAGGCAGAATTTTCCATAAAGGCAAGGAAACGCCATGAGAACACTGCTTCGTCTGTCTTACACTTTCAAATCTGTTCTCCCAAATTCACTTCGATGACTCGATATGCGTGGTATCAGAGCGGCTATCTCAAGAATAA